GGAGCACACAGCTTCCTCTCTCTCCCACGGAGCCACTGGGGGGCTTCAAGCTGCTGACCGGACTGTTAGAGGCTGACATGTAAGCCACAGCTTGGGACGTGACCAAGTCACTCCATCTATTTGGATCTCAGTGTCCTTGTCTGTGAAACGGGGGTAGGGGAACCTACCTGGCAGGGTGACCAACAGGCTCGATGTGGCCCATGGGAAGCGTGCGGTAAATGGTGATTCCAACCCACGGCAGCCCCGGTGACACCATACAAATGGATCTGGTTTCCAGCGGCTGGTTTCTGTGCCGATTGCCGGGTCTTTCTTCCGAGGCACCTTGGGTGGCAGACACGCATTTCTAACGTTTCCATTAACAACTAAGCACGTTAACTGTTGGCACTAGACCCCAGAGAGGCCAATATGTGGCACCTGCTCTTTAATAGTTTGGGGTCAAGCCCCAATGTCAGAAGCCCCGTGAGGGTCCTCACATGGCCTCTTAGGACTGCCCATAAGGAGTTAAGTCAGGCACCCGCTGGGAGGGGAGTGGAGGAATGAGGAGGGATGCCGGTGGGCAGGAGCGGCCAGCTCTGGATGGTGTCCAGCCAGGCACCAGCCCAGGTACCAGCCTGCTCCATCCCAGGCTCTCCCGGCCCTGGGGAGACCTGAACCTGCTGGCCAAAGGGGGAGCCTGGCCCAGGACCTGAAAGTGGAGGTGTCAAAAGCAGCCCCCGCTTTAGCCCACTTCTCCCTGCTGGTTCTCACTCTGCGGGGCTCAGAAAGCACACCCCCCCACCCCACACACACATTCTAGAAGCAAGCTGGGCAGACAGTGGCCCCACCAGTCCCCAGCAGGCACAGGCTGGGGCCACGGGGACGGGGACGCTAGGTGAAAGGGCCACATGGTAGGTGGCAGCCGAGCCCTTTGTCCCTCACCTAGGGTGAGGCGAGGACACCTCGTGCCCAGTGCTCTGGACATCAGCCCAGTGGTCTGAGCTCCGGTCACTCCCCAGCCCTCCCTCAGTGCAGTGCCCTGTGCTGCTCAGCTGCTTGTCATCTGCTGGCCCAGCCCTCTCCATCGTGGGTCCTGGCAAGAGCCAGCACCAAACCCAAGCTGGCGCCCCCAAGTCCCTTGTTACTGTCCATGATGTTACTTACTGCCGCCCCCGGCAGCAGCAGCATCCTCACCCACCCCCAGTCATTGAGGCCACTCTGGCTCAGAGGGTCCCTCTAGTCAGACAGCTTTATCTTTCTCCTATGGCAGACATCCTGGTGGATTTGAACTCCTGACCTTGCCTTACATGCCAGTGATTAACCCACTGTAGCACTGGGGCCCTGCCCACCCCACTTAAGGGGCTGGTTCCCCTAGGTCAGCCACCCTCTTTGCATAAGTGAGGGCCCTCACTGGGCTGGGGCAGGATAACCCTGAGGTGGGGGTGAGTAGGGGATTCTGTGACTCGCCCCCAAACCCCCTGGTGGTCTCCCTGGCTGCTCCCACTCTCCCCTTCTAGAGCCCGGAGCTGGCTGGGGTTCTTCCCAAGACAGCCTGCAGAAGCGGAAGCACTTGCCCAGCAGTTTCTATAGGGCCCATCACCATGGCACCGGCTGGGAGGGGCCGAGCCAGCCAGTGGCAGCCCCCATTGCCTCACCCTCCAACCCCCCAGCAGGGAAGGGCTCTGGGCCTACTCCCCAGAGACGGTCGCTGGGATTAGGTATCGACTTTCTCCGGCTGTCCAGGTGGCTGCTGATGGCGCCTATTGAATTCCAGGCCCGCCATCCACTCCCAGGGCTGTGTGGGCGGAGGTGACGGGGCGGCCACTCAGGGTAGGGTTGGACTTCCCTGGCAGTGAGTGGGATGGTAGGCAGCCAAAAATCCGAGTTGGGAGAAGGGTCTGGGGCAGCTGGCTTGGCAGGGTCTCCCGGGCACAGTTCTGTTAGTGTCCGGAAGTCTGGGGCCACCCGCTCCGCTGTACTGCCCATTGGCTAGCATGGCCACCTGTTGTCCCTGGGTGTCCCACCTTGCCAGGTAGACTTCTGAGGCTGTGTTCCCCCGTACAATCCCACCCAAGCCCTGGAGCTGCTACTTGGGCAACGGAGCTCCTGCTGGAGCAAATGGGCCTGGGGGCTGCCTATCTCCTCCCCACCCCCTCCCAGGGAGGAGGCCCAGGACTCCTCCAGCCGGGATGGGCCAGGGATGAGCTGACTCAGCAGCTGGCAGGGACAGCTCCGCAGACAGCTGGGTGGCTCCTGGTGAGGGAGGGGCCAAGCAGAACCCGACCTGTCTGGGCCAGCGGGGTGGGGGTGGGGGGTGGGAAGGAGGAGGAAGGCCCTGAAGGGAGGCCGCCTCCAGCGCCTCCAGGTACTTGGGAGGAGGAAGCCAGACGTGGCCCTAATGCATCAGAAAATGACCTAACCATCCTACCCCAGGGGGGGACTAGGGCAGCCCTGGGTCCTGAATCCCAGGCGGGTGACCTCCAGGGGGACAGTGGATCTCTCCAGTGTAGGGAAGGGCAGTGGGCTCACCAGTGGTATGGAAGAAAGGGAAGCTTGCTGGAGGTCGCTAAGAGAAGCTCCCCCCCAGCACAGAACCCCCCTGCTGGAGTGGGCATCCCGAGGCAGCGCACCCAGCCCCAGCATGCTCTCTGCCTCCTTGCCCAGCCCGCTCTGCCGCCACCCCCCACGCAGGCTCCTAGCTCCACGCAGGCTGCTTGAGGCCCTGCACACCCGGAAGGAAGGCTGTGGTTTTGTCAGCTCCCAGCCACCTCCCACCAGGCCGCGCTGCAGCCCTGAGCCCAGAACCTCAGCTCCGAGTAGACCCTCCCCCTCAGACTGGGACCCTCTGTGGTGGAAGGAGCAGGAGGTCCGAGTGTGGCAGCAAGCAGTGGGCTCACTCTCCTTAAGCCTCAGTTTCCCCACCTCTAAAATGGCGGTGTCCGGGCTGCCAAGGGAGACTCTGGAGCAAGCAGACTGTGATGGGGGCATTTGCTTGGGGGGCTGCCCTCCCACTTTCCCAGGCTAACCAGGGCGGTGCCCAGCTCAGTCCAGCTGAGACAGAAAGCTGAGTTGGTCCCTTAGTGACAGCAACTGGTCAGACCTGTTCCTCTCACCTTGGCAGCCCAGCAGGAGGGCCGGGCCAGGCCTCCAGCTTTGTGGTGGGATTAGCCAGAGAGGAGAGGAACCCCACTTGTTCCCAGAACCAGATTCCTGGACTGGGGAGTGGGTCCCGAGAGCTCCTGAACCCACTCAAGGGACCGGCCCCAGCTTCCGAGGGAAGGGTCATGGCTACCCCCTCCTTCTCCTCACCCACCAAGAGCCTGTGGGAGCTGCCACATACCACTGCCCCCTGCCTTTTCCACTCCCGCCTGGGGTTTCCAAGCACCCACCCCCCGAAAGCTGAAGTCTTCGCTGCATGTAACCGTCCATACACAGTCGCCCGAGCAAAGTCAGGCTGCACAGGACGCCCCCGCCTACGGGAACCACCTTGGGGCCTCCTCGAAGCAGCCCCAGGAAGGAAATCACATGCCCCAAGGTCACAGAGCCAGTGGGTGGCAAAGCTGGACATGGGTCAGGGCCTTGGCCTCAGCCTGCCCCAACCCCCTGGACCTGGGAACCGGGGAGAGGGACCTAGAGACGTCAGGAAGATGTGGCCTCGGCCCACTCGCTTTCCTGCTCCTCCCCTCCATCGTGTGGGTAGGTCTCAGGGCTGCCACCACTGCCTGCTGCACCAGAGACCTGGGCACCTCCCGCCAAGGTCTGAGTGCTCAGAGGCCAGCCCTCAGCCCGCCTTGAGCCCAGCCCTGCTTCCCCACCCACCACCCCACCTCAGGCTCCTCGGGGACCAGCAGGGTCCCCTCCTGGCTTTTGGTGCTCCCTCTACACTCAGCAGAAGCCCTGGTGGCATAGTAGTTATGCTTTGGGCTGCACTCAGCAAGGTCAGCAGTTCAAAACCACCAGCCGCTCCTCTGGAGAAAGACGGGGCTCTTTACTCCCATAAAGAGTTACCGTTTCAGAAACTCACAGGGGGACAGTTCTGTTGGTTTGGGTTTGTGTTTGTTTGTTTCTACCCTTAGCTGGGTCCGGCCTTCCTGGCAGGGTGCCCTGGCCCTGTCCAGGACCCCTTCTGTGTCTCCAGCTGGCCAGCAGGGATCTCACCTCATTTCTCAGAGGATCAGTGGGGAGAGGGAAGGCTTTACTGTAAACAGGCTTCAGGAAACAGCTGGTCCTGCCTCCCTACCTGCAGAGAGGGAACAAAGGGGCTGGGGTGGGGGTGGGGGGTGTCGCATACATGCCCAAAGTGCCCACTGGTGGTGGTTCAGGACTGTTGAGTACATTCCAACGCACAGCCATGGAACACAGCGCTGCCCGGCCCCGCACCATCCTCACAATCGCCGTTCTGTTGGAGCCCGTGGCTGCAGCCACTGTGTCCACCTGTCGTAGCCAGGGTCTTCCTCCTCCTTCCTCTTGCCCAAGCGTGATGTCCTGCTCCAGGGCCTGGGCTCCTCTGACAACAAACACATCCAAAGGACGAGCGGCAGCCTTGCCGATCCTCGCCTCTGCCGAGCATTTTGACCTTCCTTCTGCCGAGACAGATTGGCTCCTCCCGGACACCGGACATTTTTCACCGGCACCGGCATTCAGCCGCCCGGTGCTGCTCCTCTGTCCTCCTTCCCAGAAGGGCCTGGGTGCGGGGAGAAGAGGAGAGAAGAATCGATCCAAGGAACATTGATAAATCCAAGAATCACAAAAGGGAAAGGACCTGAGAGCTAGCCTGGCCCCACCCCTGCTGACCTTGCAGAAGGGAAACTGAGGCTGCCCCAAACCTCCAAGGTCATTTGCTGCACTGTTGGGGCTCCCATCAGGGACCCCCAGTCCTGGGCTAGCATCCTTGCCCATAGCTCCTCTGGGGCCTAGCCAGCCTGGGCTGGGCCCACACCTGCTCTCCTTGCTGCGGGAGGGCCGCAGTGGGCAGGGCAGGTGGGACAGGCTCACCGCTCTTCCTCCCCACCCTGCCCCCACAGCGTGAGCTGCGGCCCCGGCTCTGCGCCATGAAGAAGGGCCCCAACGGCTATGGCTTCAACCTGCACAGCGACAAGTCCAAGCCCGGCCAGTACATCCGGGCGGTGGACCCAGACTCGCCGGCCGAGGCCTCGGGGCTCCGGGCCCATGACCGCATCGTGGAGGTAATGGGGTCCTCACTGCCCCCTCCAGGCTCCCTGACAGCCTGTACCCCTTGGTCCCCCCCCCAAAGGGGGGGAGGACACAAAATACAAAAACCAAACCCATTGCCACCGAGCCAATTTTCCGAGTCACAAAAACCTTATCTGGGACAGAGTAGATCGCTCCTAGAGGTCCCTAGGTTACAAATCTTCATGGGAACAGAGAGCCTCGCGCTTCTCCCGTGGAATGGCCGGTGGGCTTGAGTCCTTGTACTTGAGGTTAACAGCCCAATGCTGAACTCACGGGCCTGCAGCCTGGTTAGCCCATAAATGAACATGGACAGATGGACGAGAGGGAAGGAGGCTAGGTAGGGGATGGGTGGTGGGGCAGTAGCTGCAAGGGAAGGAAGGGGTAGGGTGGGCAGGTGGGTGCTGGATAGTTGGGTCAGTGGATGGACAGACAGGTGAAAGGAAGGGAAAGAGGATGGGTGAGTACATGGATGGGTGGACATATGGGTGGTGGGTGGATAGGAAGGCAGAAAGATGTGTGGACAGATGGACAGAGAGTTTCCTGTCCATTCTTCCTGGGTTCTTCTACACCCAGCAGCCTTAGTCCCACCAATCCAGGTGGACGCGCACAGCTACCTCAGCATCCCCAGATGCCAAGTGGCCTCTCCATGCCAGACATGGGTTGGAGGGAAGGTGACAGAACTTGCCCGAGAAGGCCGCAGGGACACCCTAGCGTGTGCTGTGCTCCGGGATGGGAGAGGACTTGGGCAGGCCCCAAGCCGCAGTCTTGGAACTGGAAGTGCAGCGTGTCCAAGAGATCCCGCTTTACACGCGAGTCGGAAGAGCGGCCGCCCGACCCAGCTGGGTTTGCTTAGTCTCCTTGGAGCTGCCCCTTGGCTCTCCCAGCTGTCTGTCCATCCGACTCAGAGTCGGAGGACCTCTCAGCCTACTGCAGGCTGCCTGAGGAAGAGTCCCCCTTGTCCCTTCTGAGAGCTGCAACCTGTGACCAGAGCCCCTTCCCTCCCCCCAGGTGAACGGGGTCTGCATGGAGGGCAAGCAGCATGGGGACGTGGTGTTGGCCATCAAGGCCAGTGGGGATGAGACCAAGCTGCTGGTGGTGGACAAGGAAACGGACGAGTTCTTTAAGAAGTGCAAAGTGATCCCATCTCAGGAGCACCTGGACGGTGAATGTGTGTGTGTGTGTGGTGGGGGAGGTTGGCAGCCGGCCCCATCAGGGCCTGGTGGCCTCTATGAGTCATTGCTCAAGGTTCCAGGTGGGGCGTGGAGCGCCCTGGGACCCGTGTCAGGTCAGGATGGGAACGGAGATTAGCAGGGCAGTCATGGGACAGGGCTCAGCCTGCATGAGGGTGGATAGAGACAGGCGGACCCCCCAACACTTTCCTGCCCCCAGCCTGTCCCTGCAGTGCCGACTCAGGAAAGGGTTAACCCGGAGGAGGCAGCCTCCCAGCTCCTTTTCTTGGTCTGATCAGAGTCCAGTGCCTGGGGCCCAGCCCGGGCCTGCCCCACTCCCCTTTCTCAGGTTGTCCTGGAAACGCAGCCTGCTGGCTACAGAGAGCAGCGGCCCCCTTTGCTCCCTAGGCCCCTGGCTTGCCCATCCCCCACCATGCCCCTGCCAAGCCTGCCACTTCCCCTGCCCAAGCCTGCGCCAAACGGGGCAGGCCGCCACAGCAGGCAGGGAGGGGTTAAGCTGTCCTCTGCTCCCTGGCAGGGACTTTCTCCCTCAGGGATGGCTCCTGGCTGAGGGGTGTGGGCTGAATGGATCCCGGAGGGTGGAGCCTCATTGGACTTTGTGATGGGCAGGATCTGGCTGGCTGTCAAGATCTGTTTGTTGGTGGTGGTCACCCCACACCCCGGTCCTGAGACACACACACTCGGGCCCCAGCTGGTGGGTCCCTGGTGGGGAGCGGTGGAAAGGAGAGGAAGGGGGGTCGCACTCTTAGCCGGTCAGAGTTCATGGGAACGGGAAGAGCCCAGGTACCCCTTCCTGGGTGAAAGGGGAAACTGAGGCCCCAAGTAGCCCGGCTGCCCTTGAGACCCCGGCACAGAGAAGATAGCAAAACCCGGACCGCTCCTCACATCCCTTCCACCTCGAGGAATGACCCAGGACTTTCCTCCCCTCCTGTCCGTCTGTCCATATGGGTCCAAGAAGAGGCCGGCACCATGTCACTTAGGGCACCTCCAGGACGGTGTCTCCTCCCCGTTTGTAACTGGGGGTGTCCCCACAGAAGGATGCAGGGCCGAGGCTGCGCCCCATCTCTCCGAACCTCTAGAGCTCATCAGAGGAGATCCGGGTGGGGGGTGGGGGGTGTCCTTGTGTCCCACCAACCCCTGCCCGGACAGGCGGACCGTGGGTGTCAAAGGGACAAAAAAGGCGAGTGAGTGGGGTACACCCTACTGGCCCCCAGAAAAGGAGCCATGAACACATCCCTCTTAAGCTGAACCCCAAGTCCACAGCCGGCAAGTGGGCTCCAACTCGGGGCGGCCCCATGGGCCGGAGCAGAACTGCTCCACTGGGTGTGGGAGGCTGTCTGCATGGGCAGCCGAGGGGAGAGCACAGGTCTGGTGCCTTGTGAAGAGCAGCCCACCGCTGAGCCTGCTGTACACCCGGGCTCCTAAGTGGGCGTTCAGAGAATCCCACCCAGCCTGACCCAGTAGCAGAACCGCCAACCTGCCGTGTGGCTGTGGGGGGCGGGGGCTCCTTTCCTGAGTTAACCCCAGACCTGTGCTCTCCCCTCGGCTGCCCACGGTTGTGGGGGCAGGGGGTAGCCAGAGACCCCAGATTCACAAGTAAGACTTGAGTTCATCCCTTTTTCAGCTGAGCAAGTACTGACCAGAGTCGGGGCGGTGGGGCGCCCCAAGGGCAAGGGCAGGCTTTCCAATTCTGCTGCCATGTCTTCTCTCAGACCTGGGAAGCTTTTGGAAAAATGTTGATTCCTAGGCCTGCCCCAGACCCGTGGAGTCAGAACCCCTGGGGGCAGTGCCCAGGCATCTGTATTCTCAGCAAGCTTCCCTGGTGACTCTGAGGTATGCAGCCTGCACCCCACTGGGCCTTCCTGAGCTCGCTCCTTAGGGAAGGCCAACCCCTTAGGGAAGGCCAACCCCGTGATGATGAGGATGCTTTCCTTACACAATAGAAGCCAGCAGGCCATGTTTGGTAGTGGGGGTTGTCTGAATCTTATCTACACACAATCCTTTATGGGGGGCCATTACCAAGTCAGGGCACTGCCTTACTGTCACACCTACCCCAACCCCGCTCTCCAAAGACCCAGCTCACTCCTTATCTCTTCCCAGGTCCCTTGCCTGAGCCCTTTACCAATGGAGAGATCCCCAAGGTAAGCCTGGCCCTGCCTCTCTGAGCCTTGGTCCTTTGGGGGAGGAGAGGGACTAAGGGGTGTGGCTTGGGGGTGGATGTTGAACCTTCAGGGCCCTGGTTCCCTCCTGAGCCTCCACTGCACCCTTCAAGCCGACCCCAGAGGCCTCCACTGAGGCAATGGGGACAGGGAGCCCGCCATCCTGGGTGAGGAGCCCCCGCCTCCAGCTCCCCACGGTACAGAAAAGCCCATTCTTCCCGCAAGAACAGAGCTCCAGTGTCCGGCAGGCAGGCGCACTGCGGGGCCTGCTGCTTCCAGTCTCGGCCACTCCTCCCCCTGCCCGAGAAGATGGGAAAGGAGGCTGGGGCCGAGAGGGCAGGGCCAGGTGCCAGCCGAAGCCTTCTCTCTTTGGCTGGGCAGTGCCCTACGCCCTCTCCACTCCCCACCCAGAGGCACCTCCCCCTGGGGCTGGGCATTTCTGTCCCCCTTGCTCCCTCGCAGCTAAGGGCCATGCTTCCTGTCAGGAAAAACAGTGGACTTGGGCCCTCGTGGGGCCTGAGGTTCAGGGAAGGTCACAGGATGCCCTCCTCATTCACTGCCTTAAAGGGCCTTCGGTCCATGTGGGAAAGCCGAGTCCAGACGAGGAGGAGCTGGGTGGTTCTGATCCTGTGAGGAATGCGACCACACAGATTCCCCAGCAGGCTCAGGAGGGGGGGCTGGGGTGGGCGGGCAAGATAGTTGTCTTCCCCAGGAGCCCCCTCCCTCCTTCCATAGGTCCCTCACCCCTTCCCTCCCCCAGCAACCCATAGCCCCTCTCCCACCAACTTATAGCTCACACCCTCTCCTCTCTGTCAGGAGAACAGTCTGGAAGCTTCGGCTGAGCCCCAGGCAGAGCCCTTGGCTGAGGTGGCCACTGAGAACTCCAGGGCAGCCCTGGCGATGTCCACCTCCAGCGACACCAGTGAAGAGGTAGGCTGTGGGGGCGGGAAGCTGGCGGCCAGGTAACAAGAAGCCCATCCCCAGGCCCGCCATTCTAGCTCCCCAGCCACCTTTGTGGTCACACGCCGTGCCACGTTCTGATCTTGGGACCTGGTTTCCTGGGTCGAGCCCCAAGGGGGCCTTCTGGGTTGACCTCCTGCTTCTCTGCCTCGCCCCCCTTCCTCCTCACAGTTGAATCCGGAGGACAGCCCCAAGAAGCAAGACCCCCCAGAACCCTCCTCCACGGCCGCTGCCACCGCCTCCGACCCCATCCTGGACTTCAACATCTCCCTGGCCGTGGCCAAGGAGAGGGCGCGTCAGAAGCGCAGCAGCAAGCAGGCCCCGCACATGGACTGGAGCAAGAAAAACGAGCTCTTCAGCAACCTCTGAATGTCCACTTTGGCCCTGACCCTGCCTCTCCCCCCCCCCACAAACCCCCCCCCCCCCCCCCCCCCCTCCCCCCCCCCACACCCCCCCAAATCAATGCACCAATCGGCACCAGCACCACCCTCCTCGGCGAGCCTGATTTTTCTAGAGAACTTCGTTCCCCCCCTCCCTCTGGGAGGCCAGCAGTTTTCTGCCCTGCTAGCTGCCCCAGCCAGCAAACCCACTCCGCCACCTCCCCCTGGGGCTTCATCCACCTGGTGGCCCCTGAACCCCCTCTATGGGGCCGGCCCCAAGCCAGGACCGTGGGACCGGGGAGAAACGGGCACGTTCCCTCACAGCCCCAGTGGTGACGGGGTCTGGGCGGATCAGGAGACTGATGGCAGTACCCAGGGCTCGGGGGCACCCAGCGTCCTGGGAGCCGCGACTTTGCCATCTAACTGTTGTTCCTCTACTTTTTTAAGCGTGCAGTACCAGTGTAGAGGGCGTTCTGTTCCCTGGCCCCCGTGACTGTTCCTGCTTGTTGAAATCCAAGCACAACCAGGTGCCGTGGCCTTCAACTTGTTTCCATACCACCCCTGGAGACGGGGGCTTCCGGGGAAGACCACCCCACTCAGCCCCAGGGCCAGGCACCACCACTGTATGGAAAACTCCAGCAGAAATTCATCTGGTTCCTTAAAGCCTCGGCCTCCGTGTCTTGCTTTAGATCAGTGGTTGGCAACCTGTGAGTCTCGACCCCTTTGAGGGACAATCGACCCTTTCACAGGGGTTGCCCGATTCATCACAGTAGCAAAATTATAGTGATGAAGTAGCAACACAAATAATTTTATGGTTGAGGGTCACCACAAATGAGGAACTGTATTACAGAGTCGCGGCATTAGGAAGGTTGAGAACCACTGCCTTAGAATAATGAACTCTGCCCCCTGGGGCGGGGCACCTTGTTAGCCCGGAAGCCTAGGGAGCAGGAGCTGAGCCCCTTTAAAGAGCCTGGGACCACCCTGGTGCCCATGGGCAGGTCTACCAAAACAGGCTCCACCCCCTCACGCAT